GGTTATACGGTATTCCACCACACCAAAGGACCTACTATCGGCATCAGCAGCCTCTGGCAAGAATATCCGGGTTCCAACTGCTACATCCTCGGGTATTGTAGCGAAGGGTGACTCCACGTGGGGAAAGGATGGAGCATTGTCGTTGACGTCTTGCACGGCTACACGAATAAAAAAGACTTGGGTGGGACTAGTGGGGCTGATAATGACATTTACAGGTAGCAATTGGCAGCAGTCATACGTAGGACAGTCTTGAGGATTCCAATCTACAGTACTCTCAGCGGCGCCGGTGCCAGCTGTATGAGAGTTGTCAGCGCCACCGAACATGTTTCGCTGCTTGAGGGCGCTCTGCTGGGCGCTGTTCTGTTTACTGCAGATTTCCTCACGATCTAGACGTCGGGCAACGATAATACGGAGGTCTTTCAGTGCAAATGGCCAGAAGAGGTCTTGTTGTCCTGCGTAGGCCGTAACGTTAGCGAGGTCATCGATAGAGAGTGTTTGGAGAAGCCGCTCACGTAGGTCGTAGACCACTGTCCCCACTTCACTGTTCTCCTGTACATTGACGGTGTCAATTAACTGGCCAGAGATAAGCCGAATAGGATGTAGCAGGTGCAGGACAATGAGCAGCCAGATGCGCATTCCAGGAAGGGACTGAAAAATAAATGACAGTGGAAGGGCGTTCATGTTTGGATGTGGAAACGCATTACAATTGTCGTGGAATTACATAAATCATGTAATTAGGCAAGAAAATATGCATATCTTCCACATTTAAATAGTGCATGACGAGGATTTTACTGTGTTCATGGATTAAGGCAAAGCAAAGGACATTAAGCCTTTTGATGGTCGATGCACGATTATAGCTTCCACTGAAGGTCTGGCTGAATTTTGGCACTCGCTCAGTTTAATTAAACTCCCCATACCCATGCTTGACTGAAGAATACTCGTCCCGAGTGTCAGTCTATCGTTTCCGACTTTGCTTAGTGCGTACCCCACAGCAAAGTGGACGATGGGCCGATGACTTAAATTACTTAACAGTGAGGGTTGACCTACGTGCACCTACCACACCCTATCCTCTTCAGCTTCTTGAGTATAGTGTCAATATAGAGTCAAGAATATCGGAGTTGAGATCGGCCACAGGTTTCTGATGTTTTATGGGCCCGCACCAAGGCGTATCAAGCTCCCCTCCACCCGTGTGTGATATTTTTACAGATGCCCATCTCCAGTGGTTCCGACTGTGCTTTAAGCCAGCGCAAGTGTGGTTGCGGCGCTTTTGGTGGTCGATTCTTTTACGCTGAAATTATTACATCAAAGTTACTTGTATCCAACGATTTTTTGAAAAGGAGTTTTGTTTTTTCAGGCATGCGACGTCTGGATTTAAAAAGCAAATTAAAACGTTGTGAAACACGCACCGCAGAGAAAGCCTGTACCGGCATCTATGTTTTCGTAATTTAGCTTACAAGGCATACAAATTCTAGCAAATTGACTTAGAAGTTAAAAAGTAAATTTTTCAGGCAAAGCATGCTCTTTGGCAACTCTTCTTCAAGGCCTTAACATTGCAAACAATGAAATTTTGAACATGTACAAAAATCAATAATTTCTGAGTTTTGAGCCAATTGGCCATTGCGGACTTTTTTTTCTTTCAGTCGGT